TCTTGAATTTTTCCAAAAATGGTTTCTACACTTTAAAATCGTAGAACACACACACACGTGTACACACACACACACTCAAAAGGAGGGAGAGAGGGGTTGCGGGGAGAGAGAGAGAGCACAAGTTAGAGAGTTAATAGCCACTCGTTAATGACTTATAACAGGATTTGAATCCTGGATAGTTATCCAAAGTGCTATGGGTCAATGGGAACACAGAATATCCAAATTGGCCTAAGAATGAGGGTGGTGCATTTCTCTGGGAAATCAGTGTAGGGAGTTGGAGAAGGGAGAGGTCCCAGGATCTGTGGCAGAGTGAAGCATGCAGAACTCAGCAGAGGGAAATGCAGGGCTCACATGCTGTCATGGTGAAGATCTCAGTTAATCTCAAGTGGAATTTTGGATCGTAAAGGGCTCTTCAGAATTGCCCCAAATTGGGACAAGAGGGTCTTTATACTCTTATATTGACCAGTCATTAGATACAATCTATCTTGCAAGAAGTAATCTTGGGTGATGTCATTTTATTATTTTTTCCTTTTTTTGAGATGGCGTTTCACTCTTGTCACCCTGACTGGAGTGCAATGGCACAATCTCGGCTCACTGCAACCTCTGCTTCCCGGGTTCAAGTGATCCTCTTGCCTCAGCCTCCCAAGTAACTGGGATTATAGGTGTGTGCTACTACGCCCGCCTAATTTTCCTTTAACTACAAACAGTGCCTGGAAAGCGGACTTCAGCTGCAACCTGTCAGTCAACATTTCCTGGAGGTGGAAGGAAAAAGTGCTTTAGTATTGAAGGGGGCAATGAGTTGACACATTACATCTACCACAGCAGATATCAGAGAAGACCTCCTGGAATAAGAGAGAATCTTAAAGATTTAAGATGTATGCATGTGACAAACTTAAGTTTATGTGTTGAGTAACAATATAGCATAAAAAAAGGCATGGAGGATTTAGGGAAATTGCAAATAGTTACCAGAACATAACCGTTAATGAGAAGGGTATCCAGGTGGGTAAAGTTAGGGAGAGTGTATGGCAGAAAATGGTGCATAATTAGGTCGTGGTCAGGTCATGAAGAGTCTTAGTGGTAGACTTTCACATGTAGATATTTGAACACTGTTGAAATATATGAAGGAGGGAAAGACCAAGTTGTCTGTTAGAAAAATCACCTCAACAATAGCATGGAAGATATATTTGAGAGTATGAAGACTAGAGAGGCAGGAAGGTTGTGTAATTGTCTGGGTGTCAGATGATGAAGATCTGGATAATACTACCTCTCTAGAGGAAGTATTAAATAATTTCACACTGGTACATGTTAGTTCATATACTATGTTTATAATGACAGTCTTACATTATTATTTTTTCTTATTTATATTCTCTTGGGTTCTATAGATTTTATTTTCTATCTGGGAAAATTATTTGGAGTTTCCTTAGAGGATAAAAGAAAAATATGTGTAATATGTGCACATTTATAAGCTCATCTATCCATTCACAACACTTTCTTTAATTAATATGTGTCAAGAGCATGATAAAGGTTTTTCTTAAAAACAACAACACAGTTAGCTTTATACATTAGGACTACACCTGTTACAAGAATTTTCAAACAAAATTTCCAAGATAGAATATGTTTTGGAAAATAAAACCTCAAAAAATTCTGAATTTAATTAAAAAAGAAAAAACATAGAAAACAAAAACATATAAAACAAAAACCTAGTATGAATTTCATAGTTTTATATTTCAGTCAGAATTTAGTTGAATTTGACCAAGTCAATTGACCAAAACCTTAGTTTTCTTATTTTTAAAATGTGTCTAGGCCGAGAGCAGTGGCTCACCCCTGTAATTCCAGCACTTTGGGAGGCTGAGGCGGACACATCATGAGGTTAGGAGATCGAGACCATCCTGTCTAACACAGTGAAACCCCATCTCTACTAAAAATACAAAAAATTAGCCAGGCGTGGTGGCATGCACCTGTAGTCCCAGCTACTAGGGAGGCTGAGGCAGGAGAATTGCTTGAACCGGTGAGGCGGAGGTTGCAGTGAGCTGAGATTGAGCCACAGAACTCCAGCCTGGGCGATAGAGTGAGACTCCATCTCAAAAAAAAAATGTATCTAATAATACCTACCTCCAAAATAAGTTTATATGCTTGTACTGTTAAAAATCATTTCATAGATTATGGAATACTATGCAAATCTTAGTATTAATACTTGAAACAATTGATCACAAAGAGATATGCCAATTCAGAGGGAAGAGACATGAATGGAGAAAAAGCACATGAGGCAGTGACAGGCAATGGGAGTTCTAACTGGGACGCCATGGGAGGCATTACTGGGCCTAGAGAAGCAGTACTGGGCATACTTGATGATACAGGCAGGAAGAAAAGTTGCAAGGGCCTAGCTTCTGTTTTCAGGCTTCTGTTCCATTTTTCTTTGAAAAAGTGAATAACATCATCTTACAGTGTGTTTATTTTGATGAATATTTCACCAGAGTAAGCATTATGTTTAAATGAGTTATCATTTCCCATTTCATGCCAACGCGAATCGTATACTGAATTGCATGAGAAGATGATGACTGCAGATCTACTTTCTGTTAGGTCCCTGCAGGAAAGAGGCCAGAACCACTAACTTCAAGTCAGCAGCATGACAGAACAGAAACTACACTGAATGAAGTAGGAGTCAGACTTCCCTTCTTTAAGTCTTTTTCCCTTTTTGGGCAAAATTATATATATGAGGTTCATATGTATGTGTGTGTGTGTGTGTGTGTGTGTACACATGCATATGCCTGTGTGTGAGGCTTGAAGTGTTCACATATATTATATATTATATTATATATTATATTATATATCATATATTATATATTATATGTAATACAATATTATATATAACACAATATTTTATATACATACACACACACACACACACACACACACATATATATATGTGAACCTCAGCTTTCCTTCCCACAAAACCAGAGGTTTGAAATTAAATTGTTACATTTCTTCTGGCTTTATAATTTTGATTCTCAAGAAAGAAAAATGGGGATATCAGAGTGTATGCATTACCCTAGCAGGGAAGACTTATTTTTTTTATCATAAATCCTTATTGTGTGGTGAGAATATAAAATCACACAGATGTCAAAGAAATGAGAAATGCTCAAAAGGGCAGTGAGGCACTCTAAGAGGAAGTGAGTGCTCCTTCCTCATGCAGACGGCAGAATGGCATCCACAGGATACACTCTGAAGTGCACTGCAGATGCCAACAATCCTCCTAAACCTTCCCCAACACTCTGTGCCCAAACACCCTCTAAGCCTGACACACATGCATATGCATGTGTACGCACACACACACACATACACAGCCACCTATGAAGAACTGAGAGACATTTTGGAAAGCAACCAAAGCAAATTCTTCAGGAGCCTAGAAAAAGACTAGACTAATTATTTGCTAGTCCTATTGTCAGGCTGTCTGACATTAGCCAAGTTTCATATAGTTTCAAGTTTCAGGTCAAAACATTTACATAAGAGTATCCCTGATGTTTAACAGTGGTTTTTCTTGTTATAAAACTCTCAAAATATTGACCTCCTTGGAAACATTTCTTCTTACACTCCATTGCATTTTATAAATGTCTCTTCTTTGGTTTCTTGAGCTGCCATTAAGTACACCCTCGCTTCCCCACCAACGCCACCATGAGACTATAAACTCTTTTAGATCTATTTCTCATTCTCTGTTGTGGTGACATCATTACTATTTGTAGAGAAAATGATTATTATGTCTCCAAGGATCCAATCCCATACGTAATCCATTAAAATGAAATGAGTTGTGCCCATGAAAAGATGCAGAATTCAAACTTCTAAAAAATAAAAAAAAAGTTTGTCTTGAAAAGACAAATAAGCAGCAGAAAGAGTTGAACTATGAGATAACCACACAGGTTGAAACAACACACACACACAAGGGTTGGGTTGCTGTTGTTGCAATTATTTGAAGCAATGTGCCCACCCTTTAATTCATACAATCAAATTGTCAAGACAGAGGTAGAGCAGTCCCAATATTGAGAGTTAAAAATCATTGCAACTCTAATTTACTAAGAACGAAACTGAGGCACACATAATTAAAGACAATTTATATAGGCATCAAGAATTGCACTAATGAGTAGCGGTATAAAAGTAACTAAAATATCTTCACCGTTCCCAAGGAATGCCAGCCAGTTTTTAGTGACCTAGTTAGTAACAAAGCTTGACTTTGACATCTGTAAGACCAGTGCCCAATAGAATTCCAGGAACATAGAAGTAACACAATAAGTGTTCGTGCAATGAATCTACCACATCACATTATTTCCTTAGCCATATTTTTGTGTGTTTATTTTTCCCTAGTAGACAAGCTCCTCATTGAAAAAGGATAATTGGAAACATGTATCATTAAGTGTATAGTTTATCTATTTTTACATCTGCAATGACATATTATGTATATTGATACCATTATTCCATTTTTTTTACTTTTTAGATTATTTACCAAGTAAAACCTCTAACTCATGCCTCATCTTCTCTTTTACGTAAATCATTCAAATATGTAAAATTTTACTTTTGTCATCTTCAAGATCATTTGAAAAATACTAATTCAAGAAAAGTCATCAAAAAAAGTAGAACTAGAAAATCTTTTTTAGAATGAAGAGATTATTTAAGCCAATGACTTTGAGTATAAAACTCATCATTTTTATAAATATGAATTCACTGCAACTTCATAATAATAACCACATAACAACAGTATGCTTGACTTCATTCACCATTCTCTAAAATTTAAGCCAATGTCAAAGATAGTCAACCTATGAAAACTGAAATTTAAATCTTTGAAAAAGTCTTTACAGGCTTTTTTTGTATCTCTTTGTAACAGGTCTAGACAAAAAACCCAATTTTCATTTTGAAGGATGATTTTCATTTCTTTTTTTCACATTTTCCCACTACAATTATTAAGTGGCTAGGTCAAAGGTAGTTGAGCACTACACTGTAACATGACTTACCTATAGTTTTGCTTTTCATTTCCTATGTGGAATCTGTCATACTGTGAGTAGGCTCGGTTCCCTTCCCAGTCCATTAACTCAATTCTTAGCATGTACTGCCTCTGACTGGTAATGGCAAAAATAAACTCATTCCCCAGCCAATATTCACCGGAGGGATTTCCAAAACCCTGGGAAACAATATAGAGATGCAGTTGTTACTTTAGAGAGGAATTCTTTTAATGTTCAGCATTTAACTATTTTCTAAATAATAATTAAAAATTATTAAAAAGTAAAGGTTTTTTGTGTTTTACATTTTACACTTTTTTCTCCAATGATTGACATTTCAAGAATTCTCTTGTTTCTTTTCATCAAAGCTTCTGTCCAATTCTTACTTAATACAATAAAACCTCTGTTATTCAAATCTGTGTGGATGAGATATTTTGTATAAAATAAATCTAGTTAATAGGTTTAACGGGAAAACAATTCTCAATTCAAGTTTTGCTTTTGAAAATGTTTCTAAACTACTAGTTAACAAAATATTTTGAATAGAGTTTAAAGATTTTTCAATGAACACTATAAGGGTGATATTAGACAAGTTATTTAACAATATTATTTTTACTATTATTATTCACAAATGCAATTACGTTTCAACAATAACTTCATATTTAGGTTGGTGCAAAAGTAATTGCAGTTTTTGCCATTACTTTCAATGGTTAAAACCATAGTTACTTTTGCATCAAACTAATAGATTACTAGAATCATGACTTTTGGAGCTTTAACTTTCTTATTATTAAATATTAATAAGCAACCCTGTAAACCCATGACTGTAATCATTTACAAAGTTGCACTGGCATTGGAATTTTGAGGCAGAATGCTGATTTGTAAGCACTCCTGAGTGAACCTAGCTGACTACTTGGCTTCTAAATGTCAACATGAGTCTATTGTTCTCTTTGGGTGAAGTCAAGGTTGTTAAGTATTCAAAATAGTTCTTTGTAGGGAGAAAAAAGTGGTCTCAAAAGAAAGCCAACGCTTAATGTTGGAGCTGTTAGTCATAGGAAAAGAAAGAACTAGAAACTTGCTGGCATTCTAGATTTGGGGTATTCACAATTGCCCCAGAAAATACTCATTGGCAATGCTTGAAGTTCCATGTAATTCTTGATCTACATATTTGTTTCACTGGCTGTGTTGTGAGCTCCCTGATGATAGAAGCTGTGTTGTATTTGTGAATTTCCAAAAGCCAGTGAAGAGCTGACATGCACTGAGCATTCCAGTAGGGTTCTTTTGAAATTCAAAGAAAAAGGTAGAAAGAAAAGAATAGATGAAAGAAGCAAGAAAGGGAGGGGAAACGGAGGTAAGGAGGAAGGAAAACAAAATATTATAGCATTTTGCAATAACACATGGAAAAGTAATCGTAAAGCACAATTCTTGTTGTAGACAATACAGTTGAGTCTTGAGGAAATGTTTCTTAAACTGTCCAAACTTGTGCACTACCTCTTCCACCAACCGAGTTACTTACCAAAGTTCACAGGTGTTTGGTACCAAACCCATTTATGCCAGTTCATTTATTGCAATATTTATAAAATGTTATGCAAATAAGTTAAATATTAGTGAGAAATGAGAGTTTTAATTTTTTATAAATATCCAGATTTGCTCAATAAAAGCAAATTACTGAAACTTTTTTTTTGAATTAGGAATTGTTGAAACGCTAAAAGACTGGGAAAAATATAAAAAATTTAAAGAATTTTTCACATATTGCCTTGCATGTGTCTTTATGTACTGTTCTATTTTTAAAAAACTGAAACTAGAGATTGGATGCATTCTACTACTGGAAAGTTTTAGGAAAGAACTGATGACACAGAATTCCAGACTTTGGCCCTCGTTTTACTTTTTTTATTAATGGGTAAGTGATGTATATTGTTATATTTAAAGTTAAAATTAACATATGTGTACACTTTTATTACTCCCGAATTTACCTAAGTTTTTTGATAGGCTGAATATGCTTGGTACAGATTGCATTGAGTATATACTCTTCTGAAGACCATCTACCCATAGCTCACAGAAAAGATATAAGACCCACTGAAGTTGGTACTCCGTTGGTTCTTTGCTTCTCTGTTCCTAAGATGCTCAAGTCACACTTTGTAAAAGTTTCACAGTGGCAAGAAATATTAGAGCAATTTCTGGTGTGCTAAGAATTTTACACATTTTTATGGCAGCCAATGCTACCTACTAAGGAGAAGAGCAAAGCTTACCTTCTCCAAAGCATAAACAAAACAGAAAGTTACAGGAGGCTGAAAGTCAAAGAATGACCACTTTCTCAATTGCAACAGCCCCTGGGAAGAAAAAGAAGGCCACTGGGATTTTCCTTGCATTTTTTTTGCAGCTCAGACATGTCAAAACTCTCCCTCTAGCCACTTGATGATTCCCTTTTCTGTGCAGTCATTGAAAAGGGATTCAACAATTATACTCAATGTGAATAAAGAGGCTGGGAATGATGAAGTGTTAAGTTTTGGGTCACATATTTCCATGCTGTTGAAAGCGTTGTGTGGATAAAACTCTTCAGCTTCCCCAGGGAAACATGCAGTGATTCTGGGTGAGCCTTAGAAATGAACAAGGATTAGCATCATTCGTAGGAGAGCCTCCATCCCTGTCTCCACATGCAGGCCTGTACTTCCCTCTAAATGGAAATAAATATGCCTTCCTAAACAGTTGTTTGCATTTTTGTCTTTCAGGAAGAAGCGACTAAAAAGAAACCAGTATAATTTGCATTTAGAAACTAACATTTACTTCGAGCCTCTTCCCAAAAAACTGTCCAAGCATGCTCTATTATGAGAGCAAAATGTTTGAGTACAATGAATCAAAATGGCTGCAGTATAGGGAGGAAACCTTCTAATAGCCAAGTGCAGTGATCCAGACACAGCTGTTTCATCATCAAGATGAAAAATACGTGAAAGAAGGGAAATCGTGTTCCCACATTAATAAACTGTCTTTTGGAGAGTTTATCAGGCACGGCCACAGATCTGATATGTAGGACAAAGGCTTGGTTTGGATGAAATAACTTCTACCCCTTATCTCTGGCTCCAGATTAAAGCCTTGATTTGCCACATATTTGCTGTAGAACTATCGACTTTGTTTCTGAGCCTCAGTTTTTCTGTCTGCAAAACAGGGATTACAGACATCATTTTCATATACAAGGTTTTGAGAATAAAATTGAAAATACACCTGAAGCACTTAACCAAGTACATCTGATACACAGAAAACACTTAAAAATCTAGCTGTCGTTATAGTTAAAATATATCTCACAATATATAGTAATTTTCTTGTTAGTTTCTTCTCTTCCATGAGACTGTAGTCATATGCAGGGAAGCAAGTTCCTTTCTACTTTGTATAAGAATAGGAAAAAGAATAATCTAGGGTCTTGTCTTAGCCTAAAAATTAATAAAGGGATACTGAAATAATTATTTAAAAGCCTCTCAGAGGACTAATGTTTTATTATACTAAATTGAGAGTTGGTTTATATAAGTCAGTATTGTCATTTTAATCTAAAAAGTTAATTATTAAATAAGAAATTACAACCAACTGATTGTAATTGGGACTAAACTATAGTACTAATGAAAGCACAGATTACTTTCTTATTCTTACCTTTGCTTCCAGGTACTAAAGTATCTGTTTCCTTCAACTCTCCCTTAGTGCTATCTCTTTCAATCCCTCTCTTTCCATATCTCATGAGTTTTGGGAGCTACAAAAGAGGTAATTTTTAAGGTCTTATACCATGCTAATAAGTTAATAGTTGTGATAATTGCTTTCAACCAGGAATGCATATCAGAAACAGCTGTGGGGCTTTTAAAAAAATATAGATGGTTAGGCCCCCCATGAAGATTCTGATTCACTATGTCTGGGACGGACTCAAAGAGCTATACATGTAAAAGGTTGCACATGTTAGTCTGCTATGAACTGAAGGTAGAGATCCATATAAATGTGATTGGAATAGATATTCAAGTGCAAACTAAAAAGAATATATTAATCAAATCAAAATATTTGTGAGGTACATAGGAAAAATGCAGGAGTAAAACCCCATCTTTATACTGAGGTCCCTATGGGGAGGAAAGTTTTGATTATGTGTCTGGGACTGTCCTTCAAAAATTCATGTTCTTGCCTAAAAGACAGAGTCAGCCAATGCATACGCTCCAAAATAGGCTTACATATTATGGCACATAACAGTTTACCACAGGTCTTTATTTTACCCCAAATAGCCTGTAGCTTCCATAAAAATAAAAATGAAAGTATATACGAAATTCTGTGCTGATATTGAAAAAGCAGCAATGAATGAGTAAACATTACACTACAATTTCCTCTTTTTCATGAATAAAATCTAAGGATACTATGTCATGTACTTTTGTAAAAACGATGTTTAATGATGTCAATCACAATCAGCTGAAAGGTTTTGATTCAGTAACTCAGATACATTGTTAATTGATTTTATTTCTTCTCTAGCTCTCTAATAAAGGGATAAAAAGACACTGAAATTTAATCTGAACTAATGCTGACTTAAAATTGGCCTTAAAAAGCACATCTTACTCAAAAAACACATGCAAAGGAAAGATCAACATTTGTTAATTTTTGCGAAAACCTGCAGAAATGTTCAATTTCGGTTTGTGCTTTTCCAAGTTAATAAAATAATTGTCTCTGATACGTTATTTGTTTTGTCTGATAATGCTCACAGGAAGCGTTGACTTTTTATAGATGAAGTAAAATTGAAACCAGACACAGTCCATGTATTCCATGGGATTCATCTTTTTTCATACAAATCATTAAAAAAAAAAAAAACAGATAAGACAGAGCTGTGGCTTTCAGGGCACTTTCAAACACAATTGAATGGTATATCTCCTCTAAATGCTGAGACACGCAACCCAAGAAAGACTGAAACAAATTTTGAATTTCAAAATTTTTAATTTCTTATGTATTTTTTCTCTTTTTAATGTGAAGATGTTAAAATATAGTTGAAAATGTGCTCTCAACTTCTTTCCAGAAACAAAGAACTCCCAGAAGGAATGGTGCTCACATTGAAATTTTTGAGTGGATAGGAAGTTCTGTTTATGGGGGTAATTGCTCTCAAAATAAAGCAAGTTTGTCTCCAGGGCATCAGTCACTGCCTACTACAGTATAAAATTAGGCCATTTAGGGTACTGTTTGGAACTCGTAGCTTCATTGCGCTTTATATGTGAAAGTACTGCTGATAAGTGTTATTGCTGGAGGCCGCTAAAGGGTATCCTTATGTCTTGAAAGAACTAATATCTTCTCTAAGTGCCTCATTAAAAAGCCCACTCCAGACTTTCCTTTCAGGCAAACATCTTTACAAATCCGTAAACCAGATTTTGCTGAATCTCCTCATGAAGAAGGTTAAGTGAAAGCTAAGCTTAGGTAAGAGACTTGTAGGCTTAAAGCCAATGTCAACAATCCAAAAATTGGTAAACTTTTCATATTGACAGAAGTTTAAAAATAATGATAATATATAATATATATTTGTAATTACATGTGATGGGAATCTTACGAAGCAAGAGGCAGCCCATAGATATCAATCAGTATGAAGGGAAGGAAGGAGAGAGGAAAGGCAGAAAAGAAAGAGAGAGAAAACTTGATTTCTGCACTCATTGCCCAAGGAAGAAATGTAGCATCCTACTGTATATAATAGTAGATTGGTAAAGACTGGAGAAGAGTTGGGGTATGCCAAGTTCTTGTTATCCCGAAGGTTGTACACCCTTAGCTGAAGAAGTCAGCCGGCAGTTCTTTGGATGCAGGAAATAGAAGTAGGCGTGATTGATAAGAACTGGCATAAGGAGTCTATATCCATTTCTGGTGGAGTCAAGTTATTTTGTCTTTAGGTGAAAGAAAAACTAGATAAAGAACCAAAACACTTTCTACCATGTGTTTTAACCATCTTGTAACATATGATGAATATTTTCAATAAAAAAAAAATTCTTCAGCCTAATTTTTAGCCAGAATGTTTCAAAATGTTGGAGCTTATCTCATTTTTTGATCATGCAAAATTGACATTCATCTGATAAATGTTTCATGTTTGAATAAAGCATGATAGTCTTTCTTGTTTTAAAAAAGGGAGGAGGGGTAAACTCCATAAAACATGATGAGTAAAGAATTTCAGTTTTGTTCCAATAATGAAAAAAGAATTGCTTAGAAATAGATATATTTGGTAAATACTTACAAGACATGAATTGATTCCATACTTAACAAGTCAGTATCTCTTACTTAACATGCCTAGCTTGCCAAGGCAGCAGATGTTTACAGTTAAGAATTCACCATTTTGGAAAGTCACCATGATGACAACTTTATATTTATTTTTCTGTTATCATTAATTTTAATAACAATGTATTTCAGATTAGCCTGAGTCTCTATCTATAGTCTGATTTTCAGATGACTTCTTCACATCACATTTTAGTGGTGAAAATAATCATGAATTAAGATGGTTTGCAAAACAGTATTTTTGGCATAGTTAAGTAAAATTTTTAGTGTCTTTGATGTTTTCAACTTGGATCATAAAAATAACTACTGTTCACTGAAAATTCAGTGTGCCGAAGTGCTTTACTTACATTATTTCTAATCCTTGAAACATCCCTGTGAGGCAGGTGAGGTATTATCATTGTCCTATTTTAACAAGTTAGTTAGAAAGCTAAGGTGCGGGCTAGGTGATTTGTCAAAAATCACTCCTCTTGTAAATGGTAGAGTGATTTTTTTTTGGTTTTTTTTTTTTTTTTTTTTTTTTTCAGAGGAGTCTTGATCTGTCACTAGGCTGGAGTGCAGTGTCGTGATCTCAGCTCACTGCAACCTTCGCCTCCCAGGTTCAAGCGATTCCTCTGCCTCAGCCTCCCAAGTAGCTGGGAGGCATGCACCACCACACCTGGCTAATTTTTTGTTATTTTAGTAGACATAGAGTTTCACCATATTGGCCAAGATGGTCTCGATCTCGTGACCTACTGATCCACCCACCTCGGCCTCCCAGAGTGCTGGGATTACAGGTTTGAGCTACTGTGCCTGGCCTGTAACTGTTAATATAAACATAATTCAAAGTCCGTTTTTTCGAATATAGGTAATCTTTTATCCCTCATATATTTTTAGAATCACCTAGGCAGGAAGAGGCCTTCAAATATGACCTAACATTCCAATTCTCCATAGCAATTCCAAAAGATAATGATCTACCTTCTATTTCCACTGAAGATGGGGAGGGCTTGCAACTTAATAGGCAGTCCATTTGGTATTGGAATTAATCATTGGAGAGTTTTGTTCATACTTGGTCAAATTTTGCCTTCTTGGAATTTTACTTGATTCATTATTGCACTACCCTCTCAGGCATTGTTCGAATGCACATTCTCATTCAGGAAATCTGGGCCAGAGCTTGAGATTCGTGTTTCCATTAAGTTTCCAGAGGATGCTAATACTGCTGGTCCCTGGACCACATCCTGAGATGCAGGCTCTAGTACCACCTACCTCCATCCAGTTAACTAAAATAGCTACAAGGTTTATGCCTAATTCTTTTTTTCTCCAGGTGTTTACCTGTTACAGATGCAATTTCCAAATTCCTCCCATCCTGCTTATAATCCCTAGGATAAGTTAACGTGTTTGAAAACCTCCAGAATTTAAACTATATTTTTGATGTAACCAGATCATGGCAGACACCAGTGAGTTCTGCATTTTATGTGATCCCCTAAACTACTAGTAATGTACACTGAGTACATTAATCTTTGTTAATTCAAAATGAGCTTAGAACCAAATAAACCTCTTTCAAATACTAAGTCCTTAACGCAATTTGTCACTCTTACCCTGTTTTCTCACAGTTAATTTAGGTATTTTTTATCTAGGCGAAATAGTCTACAATCATCTCTGTGGAATTATATCTTGCTGGCTTCAGCCTACCTTTCCATCCTGAGTTTATGATATAACAAAGACATCAGGATTCCAACTTTGTGTAAGTCCAAACTTTTTAAACATGCTTTCAGACTGTTCAACTGAGTATCTGATAAAAATGTAAAAGCAGTGACACCACTAGAAACCGCCATTCATTTATTCAAACCCCTTATTTACTGTCATTTGACCAACTATGAGCCTATTAATGGGCAAACTCTGAGGCAAGTCAACCATAGTTTTTACAAACTGTCTACAAGAATATCAAGACAGAACCGAGGCTAATATAGCATTTCTTTCTCTCTACCTGTTGAGAGAAAATTTGTCAAAAAATCAAGACACGAATTATCTAGAGGTTTCAGCTGCAAAAGAATGAGAATCCATAAATATAGATTTTCCTGCATTACTATGCCTTTACATTCTGTCAGCAGATTTTAATTTTTAATATTATAGGCACCGACTATGTGATTACTGGATTTTAGATTATTTCAACCCTTGCTCATCTCTGTTTCCTTTTAAAATGGGCATAGTGTTAGCTAATAGTGCTGATATTAAAAATTAGATAAGAAATTACATATAGGGCTGGCATATTGAGCATTAATAAAGAGATGAGCTGTGATGATGATGATAATGATGATGATGCCTACTGTTATTTTGCAGACCCCAGTGAACCATGGCTCACAGTTCATACCTTTGTGTACTCCTCGTGCCTTAAATCTGGACTTTCCCTGTGACCAACCACAACCAACACAATGCAATGGAAGTAATACTGTTTCATTCCTGGGTCTAATAAAACTAAAAAAGGCTGAAAGCTCCTGCTTTGTCTTTGGAGGATGACAACTGCTACGTAAGAAGTCTGATAACCCTGGATCACTTTACTGAAAGAAGTTTAGCCTAGCCACATGGAAAGGTCACATGGAGAAGCTTCCAGTCAACAGCCAGCAACAATTAGTCAGTTATGTGTGTGAGGCTATTGCTATTACCCATCCTGTTCCACAACCTGCAACCCTGCACAGCTCACTTGGTCAAGCTCACGTATCCAGCGAAGGTCTGAGTTCTAGCTTCCCCCACCCTCATTCAACTAGGAACAAGCGCAAACAATACACAACAGTTCACCAAATAATTTCAGTAATACGTTTTTCTTTCTGATGACATGTGGAAATCATTTACTGAAAATGATTTATGAGTGTTTTGTGTCTAATGAAAATAATAACACTAATGTATCATTTTATTTCAAAAATAACTCAGAACCACCTAAAAATACAAAGATTCATCAAAGAGTATGGAGAAGATAACTTCAAGATAAAAGAGCAAAAGGCACTGTAAATTCTTCCATCTTACCATTTTATATTCTTTCCAGCCTCTTTGGAAATCTAGACTTCCATCTTCACGATGTTGTATTACAGTCCAACCTCCCCCATTGACATCCATATTGCAAAATACCTGACAAATGGAAAACAAAGTCAAGTAAAAAATACTTCTACTTTGAAAACATATATCGTACATGTTTCAAAATAGGAATAAGGTGAACAGGTCTGTAGATTACAAAAACTAAAATTACTATATTGAACAATGTTAAGTTACATATATTATTGGTTATTTCTTCCTATGATTCACATTTGAATTATTTCTGATTAAATTCCATCAATGATGAATAAATTACTTGCACAAATTTTAGTCAGCTGAAAATTAAGTCTTTGTCTCAGACTATAAAACATTTAAAAAATATCTTTGTTTTAAATGAAAATAAGCATTTGAGTATGTTCAAAGTTTTGGAAACGCTACCAAATTTCCAAAGTTACAGACCATTTGATTGCCAAAACACACAACCCAGAATTTTAAAACTTTAAATTGATTGAAATGGGTGTACAATAAGAACAAAAAAAATTGTTAAAATATCATGTCTTTATCACATATTTCATTGCCTATCAATTCTTATATATGTACATGTTACAATAGTTATCCTTGATGAGTCAATATTTCATTAGAGGCAACATTTGTGGCATAACATGTGGAGAATGTATTATTTGCTTGTATTTTAGTCATGAACAATAACAGGAGAACATGACATACTGTATCTCTTCTGACTGTGACAAGAATTTCTTGCCCATGTGGAAAATTTATACAAATCTTTTAAAGACTTATGCTTATTTTAATTATTCAAAATACAATGGTATTTATTTAGAAATTGACTCATTTTCCCCAGAGTCTACCCAAGAAGAGAAACGTATCTGTAATGGGATTATCTTCGGAGAGCAATCACTGTAATTGATGTAGCATGAATGTGGCAGCTTGATTATTCAATGGGGACTATTCCTCAACAACTGAATACTAAAGCATGTTGAAGGCTGGCTAAAGGTGGGATATGATGTAACAGCAGCAAGCAGGCTATGAAGACACAGAGCTAAGCTCTGATTAAAGGAAAAACCTCAAGTGTTTTCCCTGAAGCATTGCATTTGGAACACAAGTAGCAAAAAGGGTATAAAAGCAGTGGCAAGACACATCATTCAAAGAACAAATTGTCCATGTACTGCCTCAGAGTGAAAGGGTCTAAGATATACATGCCTACTTGTGGGCATATGAAATAGGACAACTCTCCTCCCAAGGCTCTCCCTCTACTTTGACAACAGCCACACATACAGTATGTCTTCATTAACCCCAGGAATTGACTCACCTCCAAGACTGTACATTTGAAATTTTGATTCCTGTCCCAGTCATCCCCACCACCACTAATCCTTTAACTCTGTGCCTGCTTTTAGTCCTCAACATAATCTCTAGCTACACTTTTATCTTCTGTAATTCTAATTAACTTATTCATTTAACTTTTGTTTTACTCAACAACCATCCTTGGGCATCAGTTTTCACTTACAGCTGAGGGTATTATTATAAATACATTATGGGTCAGTTATCAAACCTCTCAAAGTTTCGATACTGACTGATCCCATAGGATTAAAGAGACAGAGTTCAGAGATTTCAGCTCTAATAGGCCGAAAAATCACGGAGACAATAATCTAAATGAGAAATTTAAGAAAGAAAACATGAGCAAAGAAAATGATCATAGTTTTGGACACCTCAAAGGCTAGCAAAGAAAGTGATCGTAGTTTTGGACACCTTAGCCTTTGAGGTAGCATAGATATCCAAAGAAAAAAGTTTATTGAGCTGTTCGAGATGATCTAGACCAAGGATAAACATATGGATAAGAGCATAAGGAAGTAAGAAAGGAAATGCTATTAACAATGACATGATTGTTAAGGACCATATAATATAAACACCTTACATGCATTTTCTAACTTATTCTCATGATAGTCCTATGTAGGAAGTAGGTATGATGATCATCTCCATTTTACAGATGAAAAAATACTGAGGTTTAGAGTAGTTCAGTAACTTACCAGTGATTATATTCAACAATAAGCTCTGGATCTGGGATTTAAAATTGATTTGAACTGGGTTCAGAATTGAACCCTGTGTCTACCTAATTGAAATTTATTGGGAATAATCTGCTTAAAAGCATTTGTTAATAGCATGAAGACAAATGCAATTACTTAAATAAGTAAAGAAAAAGTTGGAAATAGTTGTGTGTGGCAGAGAGTGAGAAGGGTCAAAGAATGGACTTTGGTGAACACCTGAGAAAGATAGAATACATCAGAAAACTTTAGATAGGCAGGGATTTCCTTCAATTTACTGCTGTCCCCAGTACCTAGAGGTATGCCTATCCTGTAGTGGGTACTGAATGAATATTTGATAAACAAATAGAGATGGAACAGGAGAGATAAAATAGGAAAAATTGATTAATGGAATGCTAAGAAAGAGATGGATTTAGAGTTGGGGAAGTGACCATCAAAGGTTTCAGAAAAGTCAAGATAAAAAATGATTAATAAAATATAACTTCAATTTGAATGAAGAAGCCTTTAGTGACCTTGGTGAGAGAGAATGCGGATTCCTGTGGGAACAAAATCAGATGGTATAGTTTCAAGAGGGCATAGGTGGTAATTCAAGAGAAGCAGTCAAAGTGGAGCTTTACTGGTGAAATTTAAATGAGAAAAAAAGGGAAGTGAAAATATCAAGGAAATATTTTGCTAGAAGCAACTAATATCACCATTTTCTCAATTAAATTTGATCGTGCCCTGACTTGTTAATCCAGAATGAATGCTTTTATTCAAATTTTTATTTCCTAATGGACATTGATTGCCTGAAAGTTTGCCAAGTTGTATTTGCAAATCTGTGAAGTCCACTTATATACTCAGGGAAAAGAATCACTACATTTATAAATGTAGAATACAGAAAGGACACTATACTGTACAGGTTTTAAATTACTGTTACCTAGATCATTAAAACTCTATGCACTTAGTTTTTAAATCACTCACAAATTTTTTAAAAAGACAACTTTCCTTCTAAACAGAGGAATCCAGTGATTTGTAAATGTTCACATGTGCTGAGAATGCTTCTTAAATAAAGAGCTAGAGAAAAAAACCATTGGGAAATATAAATTACCCAGGCAGATTACTAAGTTGGAAGCTGAGGGGCAGAGAGGTTAAAGGGTTGAACATATGCTTCCCAGTTCTTATGAAGACTTAACAACATCAATGATAACAACTGCTCCTTGTGTTATATAGAAACAATGGAGCTGAATAACACCTTGGTTAACAGCGCCAACTTGAGTGCATGTTGCCTGGATTCAAAATCCACCTCTGCTCTCTCTACGTATCTCTTAGATATTTTCTGATAATTTGATGAGTTAATGTATATAGAATTTTTAGAATAGCGTTTGGCATTAATAGGCATTGACGCTACTCCCCTCTCTTACATATATTACTGAAGACATAATATATACTTATGCTATGCATTATACACTGTATGTATATAATGTAATATTTACTATGTACATGATATTTAAATTTAATATACTATAGTTATATAACATTGCATAGAAATTTTATAATTTATTATAAATAATAGAAAATATACAAAACCAAAACATGTAGAAGTTCAATAAATTATCCTTATAATTGTGATTTCTAGGCTCTATTTATTATGATATTGGCATCACTAATCTTTGAGCATGTTGCCTTTCTATATGTATTATGTATACATATATATATACACACATACACACATATATGTATATTTAAGAGGTTGGACTCACTCTAGCAAAGGTAAAACAAAAGCCTATTATTTTTAGTCAGAAAAAAAAATGCCCTATGCTTAACAGATGAAGGAAATTCAAAAAAATACATGGTAGATTTTAGAAAGATTTGAGACATGAAAGACTTGAAAAGTTCATTTGCCAGTATTGTGTGGTCTGTGCTATCTGGCAGTGTCCTTCCTGTGAACAAGGCCCTGCTACATAAACTATGGCTATTGCATTTATCGATCATATAACTTGGGCTTAACTCTATCCAAGAAATGACTGAACTGGCTTCTATCCCAGGCAAGGTCAAAGCTTTCAAGCATTAAACACTTTTTAACATAATACGGAGGCTTAAACCCAAACAAAACGGGGAAATTTGATTCACGCAGTTTTTACACTTTTATGTTACACAGAGGTTGGAATGATTAGACTTGTGAATGTTAATTATTTTTCCATACCATAAATGAAAAGGGCTTAACCCATTTGTTATAATACTTTTCCAAGAATTAGGGGAATTGTGAGTTCAGAATCAAATTTTTAATATTTTACAATAAGCAGAGTAATGATTAAATGGTTTGTTTTTTGGATAAAACTAGGCATTTGGTTTTGGAAACATAAAATGAAAGCAAAAGTCCTGTTTCCTACTACTATACATTGAAGGGAATTCAGAAAGAAAAATAAACACAAGACATTAATAATATAAAAGCAAAAGGTAAATATAGAAATGACCACAATCTAATTTTCTTTCTGCTTGAAAAATCAAATAGTCCTACAAAACCGTCTTTGGCTTCCACATTTGAAAAGATAACATTTCTCTAACTTTCAAAGACTTTTTTTTTTTTTGGTATGGAACAATGTCAACTGAAAAAATTACTGTATTACAATCCTGTTATACTTGCAACTCTCACACTGACTACAAGATGAATAGTGTCTGTTCATTGTTTTGTCACTTTCCTTTAATAACCCTAGTTTATTTATTGGTCTATACCATGCATATTTGATGCTTCCGTTTTTGTGTGGGTTGCCTTGAGATTCTTACCCTTGCCAAAACTTCTGGAAACATCATAACGAGCAATGCTTTGGCTAAGCATATGCAGGGGTAGCACCAACCTTCCTATTTACAATGTACAGTCTACATGGAAGGGTGAAAGTCCTAAAGATGAATTTTGCTAGCACTTTTTATAGGATTGACAGAATGCTGACAATTTATTTCAAGATGGAAGAAACTGAGATTATAGGACGGTGAGAATGAGGTGGGTTATAGTGAGAACATGAGTCAACTTACCTAATTTTCTAAACATAAACCCTTGCCTGTGTAGCTCACATGTCACACATGTGTTTACAACCCCATGGGGCAACAGGTTCATATTCAAAATTATAAATGATACAATTTCAATTTTCGTTAACATAATGATCCTGCTTAATCCTCTGATTAAAAGGGTGTATTCTAGAATTAGATTCCTTTGTTTCGAAGTCAATGTTCAATATTTGCTAAGAATTTGTTTGGGGCAGGTTATCTTTGTAAAGTAGGGATAATGGGAGTCTCTATATCATAGGGTTGTTGAAAAGAGTAAATGAAGGAGTATACATATATATACACACACACATATACTAAGCATACATATACAGTAAGCATATATAGATATTTAGATATCTATATAGCATATATAGATATATAGCTATATAGCAGATATATAGATATATACTATATAATATATCGTATATATGATATCTATCTATCTATCTATATATCTATATATGCTTAGAAGAAGACTGGCAAACTGTAAATGCACAATACATTTGAGCTATTTTGTTAATCAGCTTGTAAATTACTTTTGAGGAAATTCATACAATATTTGTTCTTACCAGTGCTATGCTATGCCATTATACTAAGGGATTAAACACTAAATTTTTACCTGCAACAATGTGTATGTATGTCAGTCTGAAATACCCATCTTCATTATAGAACAATGTTACTACTTGTAAGAGAATCCATGATTATAACAGGGAAATAATAAAACAAAAGAACGAGCATCTAAGTCCAGAAGAAGGCCAAAGTCTTTCTCTCTTCAGCTCAGTTATCTCCCCTTCTCACCACACTCTGTTAGTATTTCAACAAAACTAAATCTAAATCTAACAATAGTCCTGACCAGCTAATGTGGGAAGTTCTTCTCTCTGAAAAGCCATGGGGGCCATTCAGCTGTGATAAAATTTGCTCCTTGTGGGTACGTATGGGTATGTTACTGCTAACCTGTTCAGGTTATTATTTTTTTAGACTAAATATCAGAAGTTAATTCAGTAGATACTTGACATTTGTGAATGTAATATTCTATTTATTTAAGAAAACCCAAAAGCTCCATCATATTTAAAATCCATCATTTTGTAGAAGCGCAAGCTTGAATCTTGCTTTCCTGATGAAACCAACCCAGGAGCCAGCCATGGAAGGAGTGAATTGGATTCACCAACTTTCTATTCTATGTAAGCATTGAAAGCAAACCTATTCAAGATTATGAATTGAGGTGGGATCTTTTTCTTCACATTACCAGTCCATAGAATGACTAAAGCTGTATTTGCACTGCACCCTTTTCCCCACGGGCCACATGGTAGTACTGGTGAGAAGTAAAAAAAAATTCTAAAATTGTGAATATTCTTGATCTGAAAACTTTGGGAATTATTTTTAGATTAATGTATATCATAGAATCACTATGAGTCTAAATGGAAGTTCACTTAATATTTTTAGTTAATTTTATTTTTATAGTCAGATTATAAACTACAGTGGAACTGACAATAATTTAGAGGTTCCTTCAGGTCTTGAGTAGTACTGTAGGGAAATGATAAAGCAAATATTTTAGCTCCACCTCCTACTCCAGAACAAATTCTCACATACTTCATCTGCTATGTGTATGGTGTGTGTTTATGACGTGTGTGTGTGTGTGTGTGTGTGTGAGAGAGAGAATGAGTTTAAGCTAAAGTGTGATTTGAGGATAACTTCCTTAGAATAAGTTATCCTCATCTCCTCATTCCCAGGCTTGCCATTGTATTTCCATTTTTCATTTGTTTGCTTGTTTAAGCCATGGGATTCAATGAAATCTTGCACAGAAATCAAAAATGAAAATCAGGCAAAACCACACTTCTCTGGTAGATGGCTGAGGTAGCAAAGTACAGAACAGTGTCTCCTGCCTTTCCTCCCTCCTGTGCCCACTCGACTCCTACATTTTACCCCCTTATAGACAATATCGAAGGTATCTTTCAAGAAGAAAATTTTGTCACAGCAAAGGGGAAAAAGAAACCATTTTGAGCTAACATAAACAACGATTCATTATGGAAACCAAGAGAGAGAGAGAGGACAGTGGTAAAAGGGAAAATAGAACTGTATCAGTCCTGGACTATAGTCCAGACTTCCTGGGTTGCCAGTTAAATGGCATCTGGCAAACTGGGCTCCAAGATTCATTTCCTTTGCCTATCAAAGGAGACTAACAATCAGGAAGACTAAGCAAGTTAGACTGACTTACTATGCACTACATGGAAGTGTTGATATTGCCATCAGCGGGTCACTTACTCATTCATTTATTCCAGCACATATTTATTGAGACCTACTATGTGCCAGAAACTATGCTAGGTTCCAGGAAATCAAAGATAAAAGGCACAATCTCTGCCTTTTAGAACTCTGGTAGTGAGAAAGTCATGTAAAGTTGCCTGAGGGAATCAGAGAAGATTCCAAGAGCATTGCACAGACCCCAGAGGAAATGGGGATAAGAGACAAGTAATTTAGGTGGGGGCATGAGGGGAGGACAGTTGTTCTATCCTGCAAAGGCACATGATCCTCTTGGGACCCTGGGCTTCCAGCTAAAATTCATAGACACTAAAGAGCAAAGCTCTTGCCTAATCTCACTCTCTTTGGCTGTCTCACCTCAAAACTTCCCACATACCGTGCTTTAAATGGACCATTTATATTGCTATACTTATTGATAGTATTTTATAACTATCTGAATAATTGTCTATCTTCATCATTACACTAGAAACCGTTTGCTCTATATCTATGTTCCTGACAAATGCATGACATCCACGTAATAGTAATGAATGAAGGCATGGATGGATGATTTAATGAATAAATGGTGGAAGAGAGTATACAAAAGAGATGTCACAGCAGGAAGATAATGTTTGCTTACTCCAAAATTTACCTTGGGTCCTGTTCAACATACTGATGGATCCGATCTTCCAACCTACTCTTTTAAGTAAATATGGAAAGCAAATTCTTTCAAGATTATGAAGTAAGATAGGAAATGTTTATCCTATCCTAACAGGAGCAGTAGTTTGCAAATAGCTATATCTACCCCTCCCTCTCCTCTCAGTATTTGACTTTGTATTATGTGTGTTCTCTGGATTGTTGGGTCTTTGGAAGATGGCTTCTCTTTCCCATACACTCACGGTAGACATGAATTCAACATGTAATCTGTACAAGGCAAACATTTATGAGCAATGGGACATCCTATGAACACTAGGGAATAAATGCAAAATTTTGTGTGAAAGAAAAGTTATGGGGGTTGGAGATTTCTGTACAATAGGGTTTTCATCCTTTATGGACCTGGGAAACAGAGTATCTCTGGGAGAAAAAAGTTCAGGCATCTCTCTATATATTTCCAGTTTAACAAGCTCACAAATCAATCTGATTATCCAGCATTTCAACTGGGATCTGGCTTACGTCTCGTAAACAAACACTTCTGGTTTTACCTTTTTGGGTTCTGGCATATTATTAATATAAATAGTGTAGATTCCACTTTTATTAAAACCAGCTTGATATACATCTGCACAGTCTCTAAATGGTTTCTCTTCCTCTCTTTTTCCTCCCTTTAGTAAAACTGCAAAAAAAAAAAAAAAAAGATTGCAATATGTGAATATCAGTACCATTAGTAGCCAAATGGACTCCAATAATAGCTAAGCATGTCTTCATTTCCTCCACACAAATGTCAGTATTGCACATAGTAAAAAATCAATCATAAAGACAATACTAGATTTTGAGGTAGCGTACAAAATTTAAAAAAAAAACTGAAGGAAAAAACTGTGGAACCATTTCTAACTGAATGCTTATATTTTACTTAATTTCTTACTTCTTTTTTTTCTGTGTATCCTTTCCAAAACATCAGCTCAAGGAACAAATGACCTGGGCATGTAATATCTTCAATTGGTAGCAATTACATCAAGTTTCCTGCAAAATCTCTAAAACATTCTTACCTACATTTCACAGGAAAGTCTAAAAAATTGCTAACGCACTCTTTGGAACAGGAAGAGATAAAGATAAATTCAAATATAAAAATGCAATATGGAAGTTTAAAACACTAAAAAGCAAGTAGTACTGTTTCTGTGACTTTATATTGAAGAGTTTCTAGAAAATTTTACCAACAAAACAAAACAAAACAAAAAGAATCAACAACTGTTACAATAATTAGATTTGGTAAGTAGAAAAGACTTTATGACCCAACTTAACTACCTACAATGAAAATGTAACCAAACTTTACTTTGTTCTTTCTTTAATGCCCTGAAGTCAAATCATCAGGCAGATGATACACAAATAAAAGAACAATCACATAAATAAGACTTTGAAATTAAATTATACAGGGGGAAGAGTCACAGTAAATGCTAGAAGTCAAGTGAAGACAGGAAATCTATTAATAGTTAGAGACTGTCTCTACTGAGGAAAACCTTATTTTATTTACTGAGCTTTACCCATTATTAACTTCTTAAAACTGAAATAAAAGTACAAAATGACGCACATTTAATAGTTCTTAGCTAAAGATATATGTGTTATATTTATAAAATATTCACGATTTAGTATTTTCTATTGTGCATTATTTTAGTGGTCAGTTTTATTTAACCTTTTTCTAGAAATTAAGATTAAGACTATTTTGTAATCTTGCCCTTAAAGTTTCCTATCACTTAATAAATATCTGCTTTCAAACACACTGAGTTATAATAGTCTTTCATAATAAAAATACCAAAGGCAAACTATGAGTCAAAACTTTTACATTAATTTTAAATGATCTAAATATCTAAACTCCTGAACTGACTTAACACTGGGCTTCATACTAAATACTGGCCTTTAGCTGCCTAATGTTTACTAACTTATAGGTATTGAGCAGTCTAATCTTTGTGGAAAGAATTACTATTTCAATATAAATTACTCAGATTCTTAAAAATACTAAATTATGTTTCAAGAAAATGAAATATTTATGTCAGATATGTTGCTGACAAAAAAATAGTACTGAAGCATTTAACAACATTATGATTTTCTATGTAGCTCAAGTCTGCACTAATGGTTTTAATGAATCACACTAATAATTACATCTAAATACCACCATCACAATTTCCATGTCAACACAAAGTAAATCAACTAATTAAAGGGCTACAGATTCATATGATAGTGAAAAAGTACTGCACAGAATGTATGCAAATAGCAATTTAAAGATGCATATATACATGCTTACTCAAAAGTCATCTTTAATAACATTGAGGATGTCAATGGATTATATAAAGGTATTCATTCCAAGAGCATTGATGTAGTTTACTGGTTTCATTTATTCTGACTTTATGGACTGCTATTTTTCTAAAACCAAACAAAATTTTTAAATTCCACCTACTGGATCCTTTCTTCTGTTGAAATGTTGAAAACAACCAAATTAGATGCCCAAAAAAAGAGATGTGAAGAAATACCAACTAAAATTTATGATCACTTGAGAGGACAAACAACACAGAAAGATGTGGTCAGCAGGAACCCAATGGTAAACCCATTTTTCTCTTTTGAGAGAGAGAAGGTCATTTATCTATGGAGAAAATGCTTCTCTTGTATATACCACATCCTGCCCTCCCCTTTTTAGTTATGTATGGAGAACACATTCCCTTCTCTTGTCTGCTATCTCTCCTCCCGTTTTTATTTTTTTCCCCCCCACTTCAGGAAGATGTCGGAGAAGGGACTATGTGTGGGAAGAGGAAGCTATTTCACACATATTTTTAGTAACTGAGGAAAAAGGAAATAGTTGGGTAATTTTTGTGAAAACTAACTGTATAAAATTTGTTGTCAAAACCATGAATATAAATTCTATACTTGGGAAAACAGTTTGGGAATTCTACCATCAAGAGGTACACCTAGTATTATGGTTATATTATGGATTTTTTGTTGTTATGGTAACATATATGAAATAGATATTGTATTTTCTTGAAATTTAACTTGGTATATTTGAAAAGTTGAAATACTCATATTCTTTCAAAAAAAGTCATTCTTTCCAGAAAGATCAGATTGCCTGTTTTTAATTACTTACCAGTTAGCAAGCATATGCCTTAATTCAGGCTACATTTTAGAGTAGCAAGGCATTGAAAATCAATGTAAAAGCTTCATCCACAGCTTACCTTTAGTATTTTTATTATATACTATGGTTTGAATAAGGTCCCTTCGATAAGGGTAGATTGACCTTTAGAGTTTTTTTCCTTATTCTATAAAGTGAAGTAGTTATAAATACCTCTGAGATAGGTGTATGAATTACATAACACAGTGCAAAGACACTGAAGCATAATAAGTACTCAAGAAATGGTATTTGTTGTGGTAATGACAACACTGTTCATAGCAATATTATACTGTTACTCCTTCTTATGGAAGGGACACTAGCAGAATGTGGAAGGCTGGCCAGTCCAGTCTAGTGCATGGTGGATGCTGCTGTCTTCCACCTTCCAATTAAAACATAGCAGTTATAGTTGACTGGTTATATTTAGGATCACATTTTGAATTAGCCTCTCCTGGTCAAATTTGGCTAATTGGCTGGTTTCGTTCATTGAATAAGTCAGATTATACCATTGTTTACATTTAAAAATAAACCCAAAACAGGTAATCTCATCTTGCTGTATATTTTAAGCTTTACCTAAATAGTTAAGATTTAAAGATTATTTCAGAGGAAATTATAAATGATTTATATATCAACGTGTTGGTTATAGAGGTTTCAATCCCATGACTTTTTGCATGACTCTTTTCTTTGTTAAGTACTGCAGAGTTCTGAAGTCCAATGTCATGCATAGATATTGCAAAACTGGACACCTAGGAAATATTTTAAAACCTAAAGAGACCGTAACATTTGAATTTCCTGAACATTGCAAGTGTCAGCACCAGTGATAAGTTTTTTTAGGAAGTCTTGAGATTCAGTTAGATAGAAGATAGAAATTGGAGGAATATTTAGTAAATGACACAAGACAGATAGAAACAATAGACTTGATGGGGCTGAGAGCAGTAGCTCACAACTGTAATAATAATGCTTTTGGAAGCAGAGGCAGGAGGATCCTTTGAGGCCAGGAGTTCAAGACCAACATGGGCAGTATAGTGAGACCATGTCTCTTCAAAAATTAAAAATTAAAAAAAAATGTCTGGACTAAGATTGGACAGAAGAGTAAAAGAAGCATCACTGGACAGACGTTGGTGGGAACCCTCCGGAGACCTGAAAGAGGACTGTATCTATCTCTCAAAGTGGTTTAAACTTTTTGTAATAACGAACTGATTTGAAAGCATGAGTTAAAAGGTTGATCTTTATGTCTAAAATTCTTTCTTTGACCACATATTCTTATTTTTCCTTTATTATTATTTAATTTCTAACGAGTTCATTTTCCCTCTCATTGAGTTTAGATCCCTGCCATTCCTATCACTGCTTTCCTAGCCTCCCTTTTCTTTCTTCTTAGCCTCAATCCCAGAGTCAGGAATTTAATAATGGTCCATTTGGCATCCCTGATCTCTCCATCTATTGTCCTTTCATCCACTCACCTTTGCATACGTAAATCCCAACCCCTAGATGGGCATTCATTCACTTTCTCAACCCTCTTGTAGACTGCAAACACTGAGTCATGTATAATAAACTTTCTATGACATTTCCTGTAGAATATATTGCAAATCTTTCTACTTTTTAAAAAACTGAATCCTATTCTTATCTTCTTTCACTCTTTATAAATGACCTTTATGGTTTACTATGAAGATCAATGCCATTTGATATGTCTCCTCCACTCCCTTCTACCCTACAGAAGTTGTCTTTGCCTATCTTTCCCCTTGCCTTCTGTATTGACCTCTCCCAGTCCCTTTCAACTTCTCTAATTGTTTTTTCTCTTTCCTCTTTTATCGATTTATTTCCTCTCATCACCTACCATATAGAAATTCACTAAGATTTCATTCTTGGATGTCTATTTCTTATACATCTGTTCATTTTGCACACTGTCTATCATGGCTTCCAACTGCTGCAGAAAAGATTGATAATATACACAGGCACTTTTTAACACTGAGTATTTGCCTCTCTTTGCCTTCAGATTCATATATCTACTTGCCTGTTGGGCAGTCCTTCCTGCTATGCTAGCTTTCATTTGTTTAATGTTACATAATCTTTCCTTCCAAACCACGTGTTTGCTCTTTCCTTATTAGTCCTACTATCCTTCTTCAGTATTTATCAGTTAAAAATTAATGAAAGTGTAAATTTTTTTCTAATGAGACAATTATAGTATGGCTTTTCCATTTGTCCCTCTGCTTCTTATCCTCTCTTAGTTCAATCATCCTATATTATTAATTCAACAAATATTGATGGACATTTGCTATTTTTAAAACTTTTCGTAGGCCATGGAGATACAGACATAAAAAAGCCCAAGCCTGCCCTTCATGTGCTCACAGCCTGATGCAAAAAAGATCTTCCATGAAAGCTATACCCATGATTGGTAACTTTTATGATAGGACAAAACTCAATTCATGGTGGCTTAAGCAAAAAGATAATTTATTGGATCACGTAACTAAAGAATCCAATGTAGACTTTAAGTAAGTCATGATAAGGTTTCAGACAATGTGACCAGA